GTTTAAGATCTGGTCTTGTCCCCACCGCCAGCTGTGTGTCCCTGGGCAGTTTCTCATCAGCTGTGGCCAATCACCTCACGCGTCCTTCCTACCTCTCCCCAGGTACTGTGAAAGTCACAGGCAAGTGTCATGGTAAAATGGATCTTGCTATCATCACCATCACGATTACAAGGTCAATAATCATACCTGGTGCAGCTCAGAATCCCCCAGAGCTGCCACCTGGGACAGGTACACCCAGACCTCCCGGTTGGGAACCCAGCAGGGGGGAATGAAAACAAGCCACAAGCGCTCCTCTGGTGTGTATATCACACAGCAAACAAAGCTAAATGTTTGTTCATTCTAGAACACAGGGTCGTCCCAGTGTGGAGCCCATATCCTGGGTACACAGAGATATGAAATGAGGAGGAGAGAAGAGTAGCACACTCTAGGTATATTGTTTCATTTATTTCTCATGGAAACCCTGAGACAGTGATATTATCATCTTCATTTCTGCAGAGAAGGAAAACAGGTGTGTCAGAGAACTGAGATTCGACCCCAGGGCTGTCGGGCTCCAGAGCTGGTACCTGTCCACCACACAGTCCCAGGTCAGCATCCTCAGAGGTTATTTAGACCAATGCCACTTCAGAGTGGCCACTGGAAAGCCCAGCTGCTTATCTCCAGTGCTGGGCAGCTCTCTGTCTCCTCGGCAGAGCCCAGCATGCCTGGACACCTGGGACTGTAAGAAAGGCCACGGTTCTCCAGCGCAGAGGAGGGAACACATTCATCCCCAGAAAGAGAGGCTGCTGCCATCTCCCTCGACACCCTCACAGAGCAGGGCACAGGTGAGTGCCTGAGGAAGACAACCTGATTTCACAGTTGTCATTGCAATGCTGAGCTACATGTTCTGGTTTCAGGAATGTCCCTGTATTTAAAGAATGAATGGATTACTGGTCTTACAAACGCTTCCATGAAAAGTACGTGGGAAAGTCCACATGACCCAGCGCTGCAGGACCTAACAGTCCCACCAACAGCCAGGGACTCAGGCTGGAGAGTTCTGAATTGGCTCCATTTCCGAGCCTCCACATGCTGCAGCCACCCACATTCACGAACTGGGCTTCTGGGCCTTTTCAAACATCCTAGAACCAAAAAGACATAATAATGAAAGTCAGGCATCTTGGAGCCAGAATACGGGCCTAGTGGCAAAGAAGGTACAAAGTGAGTGTCTAAAGGACGCTGGAACAGGCGGGAACAAAAAGGGGTTTCTCAGGGACAGCACAGGGACAGCTTCTGGCACCTCATGTTAGGGCTGAAAGACTCTCATCCAGACGTGACCTGGTGAGTTGTGTGCTCCTGATGTTTATGATCAACAAATCCACTTGTGTGGAGCTGGTTTATTTTTGCCAAGTAGACCCGGATATCATGCTTTTCAAATATGTGGAAAATAAGGAAATGGCTTTAATAATAAAGGGTCCCTTTTTCACCTGACCTTCCTCTGAGAAGCAGATGTCTGGAACCCACCAAGAAGGGTCGGGACCGGGGGAGACCAACCCACAGGACAGCCTACCTCCTTCAAGAACCTTTAGCTCGCTTACGTGGGCCCCCAACTTCCTCCCCTCCAGTGAACCCAGGCAGAGGAAGTTTCCATCAAGACAGGGCCTGACTCAACCTCTCCCAGGCAAACCAGACACCAGCCACCAAACGGCCTGCACAAGAGTTTCCATAATGAGAAGCTTCCAGGAAAGCCCCATAAAACCTTTACTGTAAATTCAATAAACTGGGTTTCAAACATGGTGGCTGGGCTGGGAAAGCCTGGAGCCATACTGCCACCCTCCGCCCCTCTCCACCATCTCCACACACACACACACAGAAGTGGGTGGAATCAGCCAAGACGGAAAGGCAGCCTCACCCTCAGCCCAATGCCAAGTCCTTCTTGCTCCCAAATCAGCTCTCCACACACTCTCCCCACACCCCCAGCACCACCAGACCCAGTCCAGCCAGACCTGCAGATAGCCATGTTGACAGGACCCAAATGGCACCCTGCCATTCTCGGGGTCCCTAAGCCAAATCCCAGACCCCCTCAAGTCCACCCATGGCTCAGGGACTCGGTTCCCATGCTGTTAGTCCTAACAAAAGAACACAAGCCAACCAAGACCAGAACCAGGAAACGCACCCCTGCAGGACTCAGTTTAGATCCAGGAACAGAGTTATAGCATTTCTCCCTGCCCTGGTCAAAAAAAGCCTCACCTTTACCACCGCCCCCAGCCCATTATTTCTAGGTCCCTCACCCTGATCCATACTCCAATTGCCTCACCCCTGACCCTGAGACCCTGATTGTTCCATATACAAGACTTCTGTTCCCATGTTTCAGTCTCTTACCAAATCCCAGCCTCACTCTTCCCTTTTAGGGCACAACCAGCAGAGATCAAACAGCTTGTGAGGTGCTGAGAGTGGGCAACTCAGCCTGGGCCCTGTGGAGATGCAGAGCAGAGCAGGTCTTGGACATCTAGACCCCAAACTCAGCTCACTAAATCAGAGCAAGGTGGGTATCAGGAAAGGTCCCAGCAGACAGTGGAAAATGAGGTTGGATGGACTGGGAAGAAGGGGATGGCTTTTCTGGCAGAGGTTAGGAAAACCTGGATTTGATCAGAAAGTACAGACCCTCAAAACTTCGGAATGGGAGAGCGTGTAGATGTCAACGGTCACTCAACACTTGTATTGTGCAAATGAGGAAACTGAGGCATGGAGACGTGACTTGTCCAACCAAGGTCATGCTCATTCACTCCTTCCTACAATCAATAAGCCAAGCACAGCGCCACCCACGGCCAGGCCTTCAGGCTGCAGACCGGCCTTCACTGCCCAGAACTTCAGATTCTGAGATAACAGCAGCAGGGTCCCATGGATCACTTCAGGCAGAGGCTGTGGCCATGTCCTGGTGTAGCAGTAAGGAAACTGAATTCATAGCTGATCCTGAGTAGATGACTTCCCTTCCTGAGCCTTGGTCCCTCCTCTTGTACAATAATACACACCTGTCACACCTCATTGCTACACTTGCTGCAAATATTAAATGGATCATGTGCAAAATTGTGAATCACTACCTAAAGGTAAGGAGAGAGGGAGAAATAGAGAGAGAGGTCAAAACGAGGAGGCCTGGTTTGGACTCGGCACCCACAAGGAAATGCACGTGTGCCTCAGGTCTCCATGGAGCACCTGGGGAGCAGGGTCAGGAGTCCTGACTCACCCACTGCTGGAACACTGGCTTGTGAAGTCAGATCCCAGGAGGCCGTGAGCCCCCAGCACGCTCGGCACGCCTGGCCCCTTCCCAGAGTGGGCAGAGAGTGACACACACACTGTGCCTTGCTCCTTGGGGTGATAGAGTTTCACATTCCTTCCCTGCCTCTTCGCAGGAGGACTGTGGAATCTTCAGCTGGAGACTTCCCGCCCTACTTGGGTTGCGGATATTTTCCATATTTTTTTTTAAAACTGCTTTTTTAAGAAACTATTTTCCTCCAGCCCTGGATCATGGACAAACCAGTCAGCACTTGCAGTTGGGGAGTCTGGAGGGCAGTCAGACCTTTGCCTGAAGGCTTGAGGGGCACCAGCCTGCCTGGACTTTTCCATGCCTGGGAGGGAGGGGGTCTGCTTCCTTGGGAACACTGCCCAGTGGCCTGGCATCCTGGGGATTTTCCCAGCCAACTCTGGGGAAGTTATTCCAACCTAAGCAGCCATGGCAGAGGCCCCAGTGGGAATGGGAGGATTCAGATCTTCAGCTCTGGTCCTATGCTCCAAGGGATCCTGCCTCCCCCAAGCCAGCTTTCTCTCCTTGATGGGTCTGCCCAGTAGCTCCTCAGCATGGGTTTCTGGCATTGGGCTACATTGTCCTCCAAGCACCTTGCATCATATGCACATCCTAAATACTCTGAGCTTTGGGGCTGGCCAGCCTCACCCATGACCTACATGATCATCCTTCAGTCCAGCCCAACCCTAGGGTCAGATCAAAACAGGTGAAGTTGATGCTTTGAACAAAACTGAATGATGTCAGACAGTTGGGAGGGGACAGAGCTATGTGAAGAAGTGGAATTTGGATCCCACAGACTCACATTCGACTGACTTTGTCATTTGGTAGTGGCTACTTCTCTGAGGTTCAGTTTCCTCACCAGTAAAAGGGACTCTACTACTTATCTCAGAGGATGAAGGAAATAGTAGAGGATTCATCAAAGTGTAAAAGGGACCTGTCACTGAGCCAGATAACAAAGCAATCATGACAGGTGGGATAGGCTGAGGCCTACGATTTATCCACCTCCTCACCCCAGGTTACCTGTGCAGGCAGAAGGAAAGATGGGGATGTGAGAGGCCCTGGAGTAGCACCAAGGGACAATCCCCCCACATTGGGAGTGACACTGGACAGCTGCTTTGGGGGGTAAGGCATGCAAGGGAAGGAGAAGGGTTGGCACTACTTGTTCCTTGAAGAGCTCTGGGGAATTGGAATCTTCAGAGAGCTCACATGTGGCTTGAAAGCAGCCTTCCAAGTGACAACCTAAACCCATGTCCCAGACATGATCCACCTTGCTGCCAGGCTAATTCCCCTGGAACAGGAACTTCTTTCCATCCCTCCACCCTGCCAATGTCCGGCTCTTCCTACAAAACCTTGGAACAAAACTGCCACTTGATACTATATTTTTCTGAAGTGTGGTTGATAGAACAATATGTACAGCATGATCATTCCAAATATGCTATAATACGAATATTTATTGATGATTGCAAGATTACATTCCGAGGTTAACATGACTATCTGTTGCCTTGGAGCATCAAATTAGAAGTGATTTTTTTTTCCTACTTGGTACTTTTCTGTGTTTTTCAAATGAGCACATGTAAGTTTTATAATCACAAAATATATTTTTTTTTCAGTTCGCCACTGCCTTTTTAAGATGCATGTTAAATTGCACACTCTCCTGATTACTTTATTTATTGCTTCATACAGCACATAGAGTAAGATGAGATTCAAACTCCTCCTCATGGCCCACAGGCTGGACACAACCCAGACCCTCTGCTTTTTAGCTCCAGCCTGATCTCCTGTCCTTCTTGTTCTTTCTAGTCCTCACCACCAGCCCAGTCCTGATGGCATCCTGCTGGGTGTGGTGGTCCCCCAGCTCCACCACTTATTGACTGGGTGGCCTTGGAGAGGTCACTGAACCTCCATATACCTTGATTTCCAATTCTGAAAGAAAGAAAAAAAAAACCTTAATAACCAAACCTACCTCAAAGAACTGTTGTGAGGATTAATTTTAAGAGTCCCTGGCATACAGTAAAGTGTCATATGTTTTTGTTATTATCATTTCTCCACCACAGTTTTGCCCACACCCTTCCTTCTGCTGAGAACATGCTTCATTTCGTTCTTCCCCTGGCAAATTTCTTCCCTACGTTTTGGATTAAGTGTTCTTCCTGAGCACCTGCTCTCAACTCTGCCCTTGCCCTTTCACATATTTATGTGTGGCTAACTTGTTGAATGCTGGCCTCTCTCCCAGATTATAGGCTTCATGAGAACGGCATCAAAGCAGGTTTGCCCACCTGCGAACAACCTGGGCTTAGGAAAGCCCAGTAGTTGTTGGAAAGCAAGCAAATGAATGAGTGGTTTCAGGCGTCTCAGATGGATAACACCTATTTGCTTTTCTATTTAGAAACTCATCAGCACTGAGGTATTTGCTTTGAAATCATGTTGAATATGGCAATTAAAGCTATTCTTCAGTCCAGAGTTCTCCTTAACCTCACAACGGCAAATGACAGAAACTGAGCAGAAGCCAGGCTAAGCCAAAAGAGAAAGTTATGGGATCATGTACGAAAGGGAGGGCAGGGATGTACCTGGACTCCAAGACTATCAGCTCACCATTGGCTCCCTGCCTCTGCTTTTCTCTGCTGCTTCATTCTCTTTACACTGACCATGGATCTTGGAGGTGACCTGGTGGCTGAGGTTTCAGAGCCTCAATGCTTTTGGCTCCCACTGCCAGAGAAGCAATGAATCTCTTTCTTCAATTCCAGCTTGGAAAATTTTGGAGAAATAACCAACTGACCTGAGTCGGTCAGGTAACCGCCCCAGCAGTCAGGGTCTGGGTATTCTGACCAGACCTTGAGACACAGACAG